AGAGAGAGAGAGAGAGAGAGAGAGAGAGAGAGAGAGAGGGAGGGAGCAAACCCCTATTTCAAATTGCCTGTGAATTCCATCACGGCCAATGTGTATAGCTCTTCATTATTAAGTGGTTTCTCCCTTTTTATTGACAGGTAATTGTAGTTTGGTATACTAATTACAAGATTTTTTTGTTCTTATCTTAATTGCTTAAGTATAGTAAAAACTGAGGAAATTTGTGACTTTAGATACAAAGAAAAGGGAGTCTGTGTTCTAATCCATGATTATCATTCAGCTTCTAGACAGCACCGTAAAAACTGACTCCAGGTTTGAATAAATCTTGCAGTTTGGTTTCTTTTCTCCTTAAGACTACATCTTTACAGTTGCTCAAATTTTGAGCTTTTCGCTAAGCATGATTTTACAAATACAGGTTTCCCCAGCTAAGATGCTCACTAAAGTCACTATGGTGGACAGTTATTAGGCTCCAGCTTCTCCCTTTGCCAAGAGAGAAATGAGTATCTCCTCTTTTTTACACCCACTCAGATTTTTTTTTTCAAATGAAACAACAATGAACATAAGGAGGAACTATTTAGCTGCAGATGACAAAGTTCATATTGCCAACACTATGGACAAAGTGACTTTTGAAATCTATGCTGTATAGTTCCTCCCAGAAACTATCTATTGCTGAATACACACTGCCTTGGGTCATTCCCTTCCTGTTTATGCACCTGAGATTTATGGTAGATCTTTTTCTACCATAACAAAATTCTCATTAACCACAGTCACCCTGAATGCAGTGTTCTTAAGTTTTGCATCACCGCTGGTCTATGAAGCCAGCTTCATGATGAAGCTTTCTGCTTAAGCTTTTCCAAGATACTCTTACTAAAAACAAAAGCTTTATAAATAATTCCAAGTAGTGAAACATCCATAGTCCTGTTTTGAAAAATAAAAAGCAAGGGAGTTTCCACAGAGCATTTTTATTTTTGCTCTTTCTAGACTGTTCAGGAATCTGTGGGTTTGTTTTGTTTTTATCTTTTCTTCCACAGCATTGTGTAATGAATCAGTGACCATGAGCCACGGGGTACTCACAAGTCAGTCTGACTTTTAGTAGTTCACATACAACTTCATTTTCAAATATAAATCTTGTAATCATTTCATCAGGGAACCAAAAATAATTTTAACAACTACAATTTTAAAAAAAATAATCTGAAGTTTGGAAAAAATAGAAATATATGTTTGTGCTTGCCCTCAAAAAGTGAGAGAAATAACAAAAGGAAGTGTAATGACTCAATTTTAAAAATTTCCAACCTTAACATTTAACTTGTCCTCCAGTTTTCTAAGGGACATCCCCATCGGGATTTTTTTTCCTCAAAGTCAGTTGAATTCCCCTCTCTCAGCTGAACTCTTATGTTTTGCCCAGTAAACTTCTGTCCACTCTGTATAGTTTTCACTCTGCCTTCAGCTAGCTATCTATATTAGGAGCCAAATGCCAATGTTACAGATGTTACATTTGACTCTCCCTTTTTGCTCCTTTAGTCCTATGATCCAGGGTCCTCTCAGGCTTTGGTAACTTTTGCACTATCCAAGTTCACTGTTTTATTATCAGTCTATCACAGATAATATAACAACAGCTCTAGTACTGCCCCTATGCCTAGGAGTCTTCACAGCATGAATTAAGGATTATATAGCTGAAGGTTCACTCTTCTGACTTCATTCTGACTAGGGAAGACAACCTTCTGGGTGCTTCCCCACTTAGGTCCTTGACTTAGTTTTATGCTGAACAAGTGAAAAATCCCCTGCCTTAAGGAACTATGATTCTTTGGGTAAATCTTCCCTTTTGATAACTGGCTCTGAGTAGCACTGGAAAAGGGGGTTCTCTCAAAAGAAATTGTCATCTTTTTGTGAATATGGGGTCCTGAAATTTTACATAACTTTTGACATAGCAAATTCAGATCCCATTACTCATTTGGGGACTGAGTTTTGATCCCATGACCTGAAGATTTGGAAGTAGTGTGTGGCCAAACACTTGACATTGATTATCACACCATCTAGAAATCCTTGCTATGACTCACTTACTGAATTTGATCCCCTTACAGTTACATCCTGTTATCCCTAAGACTTTGGCACACACATTTCCCTATAGATTTCCTCACAGATGGATCAATTGCTGTATCTTATAGGATTATTGATCTTAGCTCCTAGCTTCCCACCAAAAATTTTCAAGTCCAGCACCCCTGCCCTTCCATTTCATTTATGAAATGAAACCTGTCCAAGTATGTGTACATCTTCATAATAAACATTTATTCTTTAAATCACTGAGCTCAGGCCATTCTAGTCAAGCTTGGTTTATGATTACACCTACTCCACTTGTCACTGCCCTGTTACAATTCAAGTTTAAGGGAAAATAAAGGTCTTGTATATTCTTGGAGACTGAGCAACTTCTGTCCTAAAAAAAGGGGGATGAAGTAGTTGAATTGCATCTTATTTCTATGAAGAAGAGACGAAACCCCAAGCTATCATCATATGGATAAACACTCCAGACATTACTGAGTTGAGATGGCTGTAAATCTCCAACCTGTCCACCCTGCAGGATTTCCCAAGAGGCCTGTTCCCTAAGGGTGACAAAAGAGCTGGAGCCGAACTGTGCTAATGACATTGTGCACCATCCAGATGAAATGCAAGTGGTTTTGAAAAATTTGTGCCTGAAGTATGTTACTCCTTCTAGTATTCTCCTGATTCTTTTGACATATCTTATTCAAGCTAACATTCACCAAGAGTTTCAATGCTGACAGGTGCCAGTATACCTAAGTCACAACCTAAAGTTTCCCTGAAGAGAACAATAACTGTATTTCTATCCCACAACCATAGTTTGGGAAAGTAGGCTGTCATCTAGAAGATTCTGAATTAAGCTTCATATGCACAGAACAACAACAACAGCAAAATTGAAGAACATAACCCAGAGAGGTCTCTATATGCACATCCCTAAGCCCAATAAAAATCTATCAGAAATGCACACCACTGACCAGTTTATTGGGACTCAACTATTCATCCCTCCCCTCAGATTTTAAAATTTATATCATATTGTTATTTGCCCTGAACTTAGCCATAAAACTTAACTATTTTTCACGAGGCAATTCGCCACTAAAAAAAACCAAAACTAATAATCTACTAAAATCCTGCAATGACTTAATCTCTGTTCTATTCTGCATTTACATTTAGGATGTCCACTAGATGTGACTGAACGAAATTATATGTCTTCTCTAAAACTACCATTCATTTTTGTAAAACCAAAGCCAATAAATCTCACTCTGTCTGTCAGAGGAACATGATCTTTAAAGAGAACTTTAAAACGCCAGAGCCTAATGCTGGCAGTGAGAAACTTCTCCCTTTTATAAATGCCTAAAGATTAAGGGAAAAGATTTTACTTAGAGAATATATACTCACTTGCAGTCTAGGGTGATGTTTACCAAATATCATAAATACTTAATAGCAACTGTTCCTAGTGCTTCTAGCAAAAGGCAGTAAAATGAAACATAAACCTCTACAGCAAGAGCCAGGAACTCCACTCCAAATTTCATTCCTCGCCTTCCCCGCCAGACCCTGCTCAGGAGAGCCCAGAGTCTAACAATCACCAGGGAAGTCGCTGCTGAATCCCAAACAGAAATGTTATGTGCTCCAGGGAAACTATTAATCATTTAAATGGGAAGAACAACTGCTGTCAAATCTTCAGCCGCTGGATCAAGTTGCCTGACTAATCCGAAAGCAGGCTTGGAGGAGGCAGCCATCACACATTCCAATCAATTTTTTTTTTTTATGTTTCTCCTATAAAGCCTGGAGAGACTCTCAAGGTATGAGATGGTTAACTCCATGCTGAAAGGGTGGAGTTGTCGAAGACAGCTTTCGAAAATCTCAAACTAGACATCACCAGCCCAGGATCGGAGAGCACATGTAGAAAATGGTGTCAAAGCTCATGGACAAAGGAGTCTGGGTCTTAGAATTACATCATGTTGGCAGCCACACACAAAGCTCACTCTCCTTTCTCTAACTACTGCATATAAAGTTGTCAGTCCTGCGGGTCCCAGAGGCATACTCACAGAATTGATGATCCCTTTAAGAGCCTGAAATCCACCTTTGACAGGGAAAACTTGGTCCTTGGAATCAGCAATTCTTTCCAGCTTTAGAAAGAAGAGGAAAGCTTAAGGGGAGGTTGAGACACACAGCCCTTTATAAACTCACATGGAAAACTACTTGGCTTGCATTTTTCTGAAAAGTTACTGCCTATGACTCATTCACTGGGTGATATTGTACATTGTTTTAATGGTCAAATACTCTCTCTCTCTCTCTCTCTCTCTCTCTCTCTCTCTCTCACACACACACACACACACACACACACACACACACACACACACACACAGGCAGGAGATTATGGAATTTAGCCATTACTCACATAAAAATTTAAATGTAAAGTGGTTTGTGAGAAAACTTCATGAAAACAGATATATCTATAAAGACAATCTTAAAGATCTCCAAATGCGGTTTTTCAAGTTCCTGCAAATAAGACTTCTAGATATAACTGTCCTCATAGTCTTGCCAATTAAGGTAAAGGGACATTTTACACAGCATTAATCTAAACATTTATCTTCTTTTAAAACCCACACCAAATAAATATTCAAGAAATTTATTTTGAGTTTCATTTTCTATAACAAGACCTATAAACATTCTGACATTTTAGGAGAGCTCAAAACATACATCATTTTAGGCAAAACCTTTATAAATCACAACAGAAGAGCTATTTTAACTATTTTTAAGGCAAGTTGGTAAATTACAGTTTACAGATCTGGTGTAACTCACCTGAGCTTGTTCAAAATCAAGGACTCCAACGCAATACACACTCGCGCCAAGTGTCCTGGACTTCTTTGCCTATGAAGAAACAAAAGTAGGAGAGGGAGGGGGGATTGAGAGATTCACATGAGCTATATGCGCACATACAGCTGAGTACAATGTGGGTGTAAACATCTTCCACTCTGCACTCACCTCGTTCTCTGCATATGATGGTACCAGGCCATCCAGTTTTCCATCTGTCAAGGCAATTATGATACTGGAGGTTTTCAAGCCTCCTGCACTTTGAATTTGTTCATTTGCCTGAAAATGAAGAATAATTATACAACTAACCAGTTAATTTTAACTTTGGATGGGGGATGAAGATAAGGTTTCTCTGTATTGTCCTGGAACTGGACTGTATTGTCCTCGCTGTCCTGGAACTCACTGGCCTCCTCTGTTTCCTGAGTGCTGGGATTAAAGGCATGCACCACTACCACCCAGCCTAGTTTTAACTTTTATTTTTGCTCTTATTTTTATTTTTTTGAGACAGGGTTTCTCTTTATAGCTTTGGAGCCTGTCCTGAAACTAGCTCTTGAAGACAAGGTTGATTTCAAACTCACAGAGATCCACCTGCCTCTGCCTCCCCAGTGCTGAGATTAAAGACATGCGCCACCACCTAACGGCTAGTTTTAACTTTTAATCAACATGATCTATAGGGCTGAATTTGTAGGTCTGACAAAATAAAGTATTAAGGATTACAAAATAATACATACATATTTATATGCACTACTTGATAAAACCAGGTATTTGTTTTAGTGCAAATATTATGCATATATATATGTATATATATATATATATATATGCATATATATATTTGAGTTCCTATGATACAAGTTTTAGTTAGTGCAAATATTATGCATATATATATATGTATATATATATATGCATATATATATTTGAGTTCCTATGATACAAGTTTTTATACCTATGATTGATTTACCTGACCATAACCCCGGAGGGAAGCAGAAGATTTGTTAAAAGACAAAATACACACAAACTTTGCCTATCAACAGTCACAATAAGTGGTGTTTTCTCCAAGTCTCATGTCTGGGATGGCTAAACTATTGGAAAAATAGACATAAACACAAAAAGGAATTTTCCTTATACAATAAGAAGCCACTCTCTCCCATAGCTACAAATATAAAATGACTTACAAGCTTTAGTCCTTCATGGATATATGTCTCTCCAACTGGCTTAACAGCTTTTAAATCTTCCAGTCCTTTACCAATTTTGTATCTGAAAAAAGAAAAAGAAGATTGAGCAAATACCATAATAAAGATTTCCTAAATAACTTAAAATCCCCACTAGTAAGAAAAAGAAGAGGAAAGGATGTGGGCTTCAAGGACAAACCGCTTCTCATACTTTCTAACATGTTAATAGCATATGGTAAAACCATTGTAATGTTAATAGCATGTGGTAAAACCATTGTAAAGACACTTCCTAGAATTGAAGTATAGAATTTACACTTTGAACCATGAACAGATGCCTTTGATCACACTTGCTTTATTAGGTGCTAAGAAGTCCAGTGTGCTTCCTCTCATACAAACAAGTGCAAAAATGAAGTATCTCAGCCTCCCTGCAAGGCTCTAGAAACTCTCAAAGACCTCCCTAAAAGTGAGCATTGCCTTGCTGCCTTACAGACTCTTACAAACTCTTACAGACTAATATTAAACCTTGCACACAGAAAGGGACATTTCCTGCTCCAGTCTCACCAAGTCTTAGGTCTCTGGACTTCACTTTTGGAGGGCCTATTCACACATTCAGACTCCAGCATATTCTCTTCAATATAGTAGGAACTTAATACAAAATTGGTGAGTGAATCAATGAATAAGTGAATAGATGGGTGGGTGGATGAATGGATAGATAAATGGATGAATGGACAAGAGGGCAATGAACTCTTGTTAAGACAATGTGAATAAGAAAGACAAAAAGGAAAGAAGCATCTTTTCGTCTTCTCTGAGCCTCCTCTTCTTAAGACATGGTCTCACTATGTGGCTCTGGCAGACCTAGAATTTCTTGTGTAGAACATGCTGGCCTCAAACTCACAGAGACCCACCTGCTTCTGCCTCTAGAGTGCTTGGATTAAAGACTTACATCACCAAGTCTGGCACAGTCTTTGTCATCATAACTGATTTATTGAACCAGTGGAAATAGCTAATTGGAGTATTCTGCAATGTTACTAAAAACTATTTCATATGGATGAGTAAAAGAAAATCCAAATTTTAGAGTTTTAAATACAAGTATCAAAATCTCCTTTAAAAAAAAAAAGAAAACTAAGAATCCAGAGATAAAATAATGTTGCAAAAACAGTCCAAAATATATTCAACTTTTGAAGGTTTTTGTTTTATGTTCGGTGGGTCTGTTTTTTTTTTTTTTTTTTTTTTTTTTTTTTTTTAAACAGGGGTTTTCTTTGTTGCTTTTGTGGGTTTTTCTCCCCCACCCCTGTGGGC